GACAGACATGCATACACACATGTGTGCACACATGCACAGACACACACACCTGCAGAGCACCTGCCCTCACCTCCGTCACCCTGCGTCTTCCTCCTGGCCACCTGGCCACTTCCCCACTCCATGCAGAGGGCTCCGGAGGAAGCGGCCTGAATCCCCTGGCAGCTTTAGTCCTGGCAGTTAACACATGGGACAGCCCTGGCACCCAACCCTTTGCTCAAGAGAAAGGGCAGATGTAAGAAGTTCACCCTCCTCAAAGCCCTGCCGAGCCACTGTAAGGCTGGGACCAAGGGAGGGGAGGGAAGAGACCTGCAAACCCAGCACCCCCATTGGGGTGGGGAGTCCCTCACTAATAGGCATGGAACAGGTGCCTGCATCCCCCTCCTATTGTCAGCCCCTCCTCCGGTCCCTGCACATCCCTTGTGAAGGGAATGTTGCCATCGAATTGGATTTCCCAGTGCCCTCTACCTAGGCCTGAGGGAAGCTCTAGCACCTCTGACTTCAGGAGAAATGTTAGTGGGGTTAGAGGAAAATGCACACTTTGTAACCACCTGTGCCTGCTTCTGGCAAGTCCCTCCTGCCTGAGTCCATCAAAGGGACAGCTTTTCTGGCCTGTGCTCCCTTCATTGTTTTCTGCCCACCAAGAAGACTAAAATAATCTCTTTACCTTTCAATTTCTTGTCACTGGTCTTCTCCTGACCCCTGGGGACGGTGTAAATTTTTAATCCCTGGGTTTGGAGAAGGAGAGGGTGGCTAACCTTTGTTGAGGCTGTGGTGGAGTCCAGGATACCCCAGGGAAAAGTCCCCCTGCTGGCTCTGCTGGGAAGAGCACAGGTCCCCAGGCCTCTGCCACAGGGATGCCACCCCAAGTGTGCACTCTGCAGCTCAGCAGCCCTGGGGTACAGAGAAAGGAAAGCTGCAAAAATGAAGATCAGGGATGGATGGTGGGTATTTGGGTTTAATCGGCTCTTGGTCTTACTGCTCAGCATTGGCACTCGGAGGTTGGGACCAATAAGCTGCTCCGACATGTGAATTTAGAAGAGAACTGTTCCAGTCATATTGCACTATATTACAAGTTACCCAGCTTCCTGGGTTTCTTATTTTGCCCCCTGGAAGCACGTAGCCACTTGGCTATCAGTCTGAAACACAGGGGGCATTGATCTGGGTGCTAGTCCTATTTAATCTAAAAGAATTCAGGTTTCTCAGCAGATGAAGTTGAAAGGTGATCCAACCTTCTCTAACGCTTTCACTGAGTCAGCCAGCTGGTTGCCCAAGGCACCTCTTAGTGCCCGACTATTCCACCCATATGGCAGCCCCCAGGCTTCCACAGCAACCGGATTGACCACATTTCCTGTCCTGTCCACTTGGAGATAGGCAACTTCCGACTTTTGTGTTTGTGTTGGGTACACACAGACACATACACACATGTGCACACACACATAGCAGTGCACACATGAGCTCATCTCCCATATTTCTAAAATGAAGCAACTCAGGGGCTCTGTTTACTCCTATTAGGTGTAAGAGAACAAAAAAAGCTGGGCGGGGGTGGCGCACACCTGCCATCTCATCACTCACCAGTCTGAGGCAGGAGGATGGCCGAGAGTTAGAGGCCAGCTTGGGTCACATAGCAAGACCCTGCCTCAAAACAACAGCAGCTAGAAAGTGCTTGGTGTTGAACTTGCCATGGTTTGCACAGGACATGGCCTGATTCTGCACTGGGCCAGGGCAGAGGAAGCCTTGGTGTTCCACTTTGCACCTCCTTCCCAGCACTATGGAATCCCTCCAGGCCCTGCCAGGGGATAAGTAAGCCAACTGGCCCGTGTCTGGCAGCCAGAGCCCAGGGCTGCAACACAAAGGAGCAAGCGTGAGCCCACAATGGTCTCCCAGACCCTGTCCCCCAGGAGGAGCATTCATTGACACCCTGATCTTGGAGGTCTAACTTTTGACTTGTAGAAAGGCAGCAAACACTCGCCCAAGAAGCCAACACACAGTATCTGTCTCTGCATAGCCGGGCATAGGACAATTCATTGTTTTGGCCAAAACCACCATTAGTCCAGCTTGCTAACAAGGAAGCAGAGGTGGCATCTCAGTACCACCACTCTGGGTTGTCTCTCTGACCAGATGTGGCCTGTGGCAGCTCAAGGAAACCATCACTGGGGACATCCCCACTTAGCAAAGCCTGCAGGAAGGGCCTCTCACCTGTCACCAGCTACAGACCCCCCCGCCCCAACATTGAAGTTGGAGAGAAACCTTTGCAAGTGGAATCAAAGTACTCATTGTGACAAAGCAGCCTTCAGAAGCAACTTTAGTTTCTTCTTCTTCTTCTTCTTTTTTTTTTTTTTGGTACCAGGTATTGAACTCACGTCCTTGTGTTTTTTAGTTTCTTCTTTTAAAGGGAGGAGAATGGCACATAAACCCTTCAAAGGGAGAGTATTTTTGTTTGTTTGATTTTTGAAACAAAGTCTCGCTATATAGTTCAGGCTACACTCAAACTCAGGACGATCTTCCTGACACAGCCTTGTGAGTTCTGGGATTGCAATCATGTGCCACAGTGGAGAAGGAGAATAATTCCAACACAGCAGAAAGTGCCTCTGTGAATGTAAGGTGGCAGATACTGTATATTACTAAGTCTCTGCTTCTCCAAGCAATCCTATTTTGTAGGCTGTTCCATAAAACTGATAACCTCGAAGGTCTGTCAGCTATCTTGAGGGCAACATCAATTAAGATAAACAGGACTAGTTTTCTCATATTCCCCAGTACCACGCACCCTGCCTGCTGCTCTCTTCCTGCCCTGTGAGGGCCTCAAATCATGGAGGAAGCCATGAAGTCTGCCTTCAAGACCCCAAACCCCCACCCTGGTTCTCTGGGTGTGTGGCAGCTGTCAGAGGTCTTAGTCATGACTTAGGGAGAGGGGGCTCCCTCCCCTGAGGGCTTGCTGTCCACCAGGCTGGCATCCTTGTCCCTGTCCCTTCTAGGTCCCTCTTGAGTCAGCAGCCCCCTAGAGTGGTGCATAACAAGCACATCCTGCCTGAGAGGGGACAGCAACCCTGGGGCCCAGTACAGTGCTAGCTGGACTGTCCCAGTGCAGTGTGCCCCCAAGGCATAGCCACAGGAGGGATGAGGAGCCCATGAAGGCTTCAAGTTCCCATTACGCTTCTAGGAGACAGAGCTGCGACCCTCTGAGGACACCAGGAAACAGGTGTGAGACCCTTATTAAGGAACTCCTTGGAGGTGACCTGGGTACTGTGCTGTAGAGGAGCCAGTGGCTGTGGGTAGCAGGGGCTGTTGGGGCTCAGGGAGGGAGCTGGGGCCCCATCTGTCCTGCCAAGTCCTTCAATGCCCAAGGCTGCCCCTCTGCAGCTGGTCAGGATCCACTAGAATTGAGACCTGGGACCCAGGGCCCCGGATGGGGCAGCCCTTGCTCATGGGATCTGGAGCCAAGGGAAGAAAGACAATGTAAGGGCTGCGCACAGGAGGGGAAGGGTTCTGAATCTGTGACCCTAAAGGCCCATCACAGCTCCCACTACCCAGGCCTCCTGACCTCACATGCAGGACATATAAAAGAAGAGCCATTCCTAACTGGACAGCTGTATTTTCTAGGTGACACAAGTGCTGCCGTGGACTAACCAGGCAGAAGAGAGGTGAGTGGGAGGGGTTTATAGGAAGAGTGGGGAAGGACTCACAGGGATTCACAGAGTTCAGGAGGGTGCAAGCTCCCCCCACCCAGGGCAGGGCTTCTTCAGAACAGGAGCAGCCAGATTGGCCATTGTGTGTGGGATGCTAGGGGCCTCGGGACACCATCCTCTGCCTCTCCTCTCCATCCACACAGCCATGGCCTGGTCTGTCTGTGTTACAGCCCCTGACTGTCCCCTGGGTGCAGTAGGCCTCCCTGGTCTCTGAGTCATCCTCGAAAGCAGAGCATCTGGCCCCTGTGCACCAGCTTCCCAGAGCACTGGGTACTAGGTAGAGCCATGGCCAGCGGATCTGCATGACTGCCTTCTGGTGACATTCCTCTCGAGGGTCGTCCTTGGAGGTCCTTTTAGGGAGGTGAGTCTGGAGAGATCCCTGGTTCCCAGCTGCCTCTGCTTGTTCTTAACTCAGGCAAATGATGTGCTTTCCATTGAATGCCATCCCTCCCCACAGTGCACCCTTGCGAGAGTCTCTCTACCTCACTCATCTTCTCTGGACAGCTACCACCTGGGAAGTTAGAAGTGCAGGGACACCTCTGGTCCATAGTTGTTCTATCTTGAGGTGCCTTGTGGGAGAATGAACACAGCGATGAGAAATCCAAGCCTAGCATCTGCTCAGCTTTGCACAGGCTGCATGACACTGCAGGACAACTTTCTTGATGTGACTGAGAATGACAGAGATAGGTTTGGATTTCTGGGCTCTTAGCCTCTGTACTGGGGTGGGGATTTGTCTCCTAAAAGCAGAACCTAGATGCTCACTAGCACCCACATTTGCAGCCCCCTACCCTGCTTCCCTGACTCCTTCCCCACAGACCCCCACTAACACATCAAATTGAGGTGAGCCCCATGGAGTCATCTTTGAGCAAGAACATTTCTCCTTCCCCATTGGCCAAGTGAAGGAATCAGCCCTGGGAGGATGGGTCACGCCTCCCTTGCTCCCACTACCAATCTGCAGACCTCAGGAGGAGGAGAAGGAACCCAAGAGGAGGTGCTCAGCCTGGAGCCTCCACCCCTCAGCTCCTGGACTCCTGCTGGTCTTGCCCAAGAACCATGGCAGCGCTATTTTTATCATGATGAACAACAGTGCTGAATGTCTTCCAACTTGACAAGACACCAAAGTTAGGTGCTGAGAGAGGCACTTCAATTTCAAGCTTAAAGATTACTTTGGGTCCCCCAGGACTCAGAAGCAATTTAGTGCTGATACCCTGAACAAGAGAAAGGTTAGAAGATTAAGACCAACTGCTGTTTGGATAAATGGTTGGTAATTGCCCATATCCGCAATTATACACTAGCACATAATTTCTTTTCCGCTACCTTTCTCCTCTCCTGTGTCCCATCAGGCCTGATCCGGTAGGAGCCCACCTTGGTCTTCTTCTGCCGAGCTTTGGTGACATCGTACTCCACTTCATCCATCAGGGCCCTGCATGCTGAACAAGACACGGGACAGCTGGTCAGGAGAGAGGCAGTGGGTTCTGAAGGGCGCTGGGCCCCTCTACGCAGTGCACAGGCAGCCAGCAGTCACATGGACTGTGGAATGGGGAGGGTCCTTCACTGCCATGTTCAAAGAACCCTCAGAGACTCGTTTGCCTTGTATTCCCTTTTGTACTTTGTACGTGTTTTGCTCTTTCAAAAGTAGAATATGAGCCTGACTGACATTGCAAGTCCCTGTGGCTGCATTAGATCCTAGCACCCTTTGTACTATGCAGCCCCAAACTGCATCCTGCTCCCAAACATCTACTTCTGCTGCACTGGAGGTCCAAGGGGATGCTCTGGAAGTTACCTTTCATCAGCCACGTGTCTGCCTTTCCCCACTGAACCCATCTTCCTTATCCCCAAGCTCACAGGGCCTTGTCCTCACAGATAAAAAGCAAAGCCACATGGTACCTCAGTATCAGTGGGAAATTGACAAGATTTCCTCTCTCTTCCTTGACTGTGGATGAGAAGCCAGCACAACAGTGCCATCCCAAAGGGATGCAACTGGGCATGGATATACCCAAGCCCACTTCTGCCTGCAGGGCTGAATGGCTTGCCTGGCTGGAGAATGACACACTGAGCCCCTGTCTGATTCAAGCCTGTGTTTCCAAGTCTGCCTATTAGAGCTGCAGGAGCTTCGTGTGCCTGGGATTTGCCTTCGGCACTGTCACCCCCCACCCAGCGCCTGGCACTCTCATCTGATTGTGCCCAGGCTCACTCAGCTGGTGGCACAGCCTGACTGGATAGTGACAAAGGCTGTTGTGGTCATGGAGACGCCTGGCGCACAGGGCTGGCAGCTGTCCAGGCAGCGTGCTGAGGGGGGGTGCTTCCCACGGCCCCAGTGGCACTGCTGGCTAAGAGGGACAGCAGCTTCCGGGAGCCTGATGCCCTCACACATACCCTTGTTGTGCAGGCCAGGAGCTCAAGCCTTGGCAGCTCTCATGTTTGTCCTGTTGACCCTGGTCACTGTGGTTATTGCTGAACTTCAGGTCTGGTGTGGCACTTGGTCCTTCTTGGCCCAAGATCCCAGTGAGCAGGCTGTGTCCCTGAGGCCCATCATTCAGGGTGGAAGGCTGCTTGGCCCTGGTCAGAGGCATCACAGATGATGCCAGCATTTAGCATCTCTGTATGCAAAAGTGGAGAAGCAACAGTCACAGTGACCTCCTGTCCCTCAGGTCACTCCTTTTCCTTCTCTCTCTAGCTAGGAGAGGCCCTGTCCCTTGGCATTAGAACCCACATTCTGGAAACTTCCTGCAGCTGGGATATGGACTGGAGCTATCTCAGGTATCAGTTGTAGGGGACGCCAGGGACACTGAGTGAAGAGCTCTTGGCTGGGCCCTCCAGGGGGCTCAGTGTCCTCTTCCTGGGGGAGAAGATAAAGCCACACATCAGAAAGGACAAGGTCTTGCTATTTGCTGTCAGTCTCTGACCTACTCTTCATGGAGTGGCTTTACCAGCTGCTCCATCATGCGGTCTCCTTGGTCACTGCTGTGCCTTCCCCCTCTGCTGGAGACCCTGACTAGGGCCTGGAGATGAGCCTGGGAACCGTGTTCCCATGTCCCTGCTCTCTGTCCCTGCTCGGCAGGCTGTGTGGTATCCCCAGTCTCAGGAGCCCCCAAGGCTGGCCCTGCCTGACCATGTGGAAAGGAGCACATCATGGTTATCAGGGCCACAGTCAGGGCCAGTTCCCTGCTCTCAGCTATCCTGGGGGCCACACAGGTTCAGGAAGCCAGCCTCCTAGGTGTGATCACTGTGTCACTGAGCACCCCCAAGTGCCTTGAGTAGTCAGGTGATAGTGGCAGGCCCAGGTCACAGCCATCATCCAAAGAGGGGACAGTATCTCTAGAGGCTTGGATGGAGCAGGGGAAGGAGCACTGGTGAGTGGCCATGCAGAGTGACTTTGAATGGTCCATGTCCCTCAGGGGAAGGACTAGTCCCCAGGCTGGAGACCCTTCCAGCCATAGGGTCACACTCACTCTCAGTGGAAAACCCACATCCGGGGATTGACCATGGCAAGACAGAAAGCCTGGCTGTCAGTCACTGGGGACTATTCAGTCCACAGAGCCATTTCCGGGCCCATATGTTTTCTGGATGGTCTGCTCCCCACTTCCTCAGGTGTGATGGGAACACAGGAAGGGGCCCAGGGCTCAGCCAGGTGGGAGCTGGGGCATCAAGGACTGACATGGCTGCCGCCCAGCCTGCCTCTTTGTCACATGGTCAGTTGCCCAGGACCTCAGCCTCAGAGAAGGGACTCACTTTGCACAGTCCAGCAGAGCTTCCTGGGTCAGGGCAACCTTGTCACATGGGGAGCTGTGGCTTCCCTTCTGGATGGGGGTGGGCTCCCCATGGAAGGGTGGCTCCAGAAGAGATCATTTCCAAATTCTGCCCCAGGTCACAGAACAAGTTAGCGAAGAGTCACATCAGCGACCGGGCTGCAGATTTCTAGTCCGGCATTAATTTAAATGTTAATCTGAAATCTTCACTTAAATCACTGGAGTTTAGAGTTTATTAGAGCAGGCAGCAGGAGCGGGGCCTCATGGGGGCAGCGGCGGGTCGTGGTGCCTGCCAGAGGGCGAGCCCCCTCCCAGCCGACCCAAAGCCTCTCCACCCCATGCCTCCCTCCCTCACCCTCCGTTCCTCCCTGTCTCTTTCTAGGAGAAAGACCTGGGAGCTGTGAAGAGATGGCAGAGTCAGCAGGGCAGATTCAGAGGAATCTTGGGGGTTCAGGTCCTGGACCTTCTCCAGCCAGCTGACAAGAGGTGACTGCTAGTGCCTTGTCCCAGCACTGTTCAGGCAGCCTGGAGTCCCAATGGAAGTATTTACGTGGCAGGAACAGGCAAGGAGCGGACCGGGCCCCACTACAGCTGCTTCCTCCTACAAGAGTTAACAATCAACAAGCATTTGGACATCAAGTTGTGAGGCAGTCACCAAGTACAAGTGACAGCCATGCCCTGGAAGGCCAGCCTCTGTTGGGGTGATCAGTGAGCTCACATGGGTGCAGAGGGATCGCAAGCAAGGGCATCCAGGACCAGCAGGACCTTCTGCTCCAGCCACACTGGTCAGCCAGAGTGACTGAGGAGGGCTGGTATCACAGGATACAGGCTCCATGGGATCCCCTGAGTCCTCCAGGGTGTAGGAGCCAGGCATGAGCAGCCACATAGGAATAGAGGGGAGTAGGAGCTGTGCAGGAGTCACCTCCGGGCCATCCTAACCTTTCCCCAGGTACCCGCCTCTGGGCTGCCTACATGCACATAGGCAATACCTGCAGGAGACTCCCAGCCCCTTATCCCTCCCTGGCTGGGAAGCTAGTGGAGCTTCCACCTGAGTTGGGCTGAGGCTGTGCAGGTCAGGTGGGTAGGGCAGATGGGCTGCACCCACAGAGATTGGGATGGCACTAAGAAAGTAATAGGACGAGAGGGATGAGTGGCCTGGCCAGGCAAAGCTTGTGGGGAACCATGTTTGCAGAAGCCTCAGTGGAGGAGGAGCCTGGTGAGGTGGAGGAACAAGCGAAGCCCGGAGCCCAGGACCCTGAGAGAAGGGGAGAGGTGGAGGTGCTGGGGGCTTAAGGACAGACTGAAGAGAGGGAGCCACATGGACCCTGCGGGACTTGAAGTAAGCAACACTGGATGTTTCCAAGGTCATTTCGGCCTCAGCCAGAACAGACCAAGGACCAGGGCAAGTGGCAGAACTCTGACGGAAAACCAGGAGACAGCGATTGTCAGCTCCCATCCCACTTCCTCTTTCTCTATTGCTAAAGTCCTGCTCTTGTCCAGTAAAAAAGCATCTGTATGTCAAAAAAACTGACCTCTTTCCAGCTAATTCCAGCCACTCTGCTCATCCTGCCCACTGCTGGTTTGGGATGGGCATGTGTTGTGATGTGATGTGAGGGCAGGCCTGGTGGCAGTGTCTGCACAGCTCAGCACCTCATTCCTGCCTTTGATTGGTCCTCTGCAGGTGATAGCTGGAGGTGTGGCAGCCAAGTGGCACCATGAGGGAATCAGTCTAAAATGTTCATCAAGAGCTGGGTGGGCAGACAGAAGCTGGTACTTTGACTACTTTGTTGGTATCACCGTGGGCTACTTTGCTTACTGGCTGTGTTTGTGTGACTGAATCCATTTCTTCTTGCTGTTTAAGCCACTTTGATTAGGATTGTGTCATTTGCTTCTGAAACCTGTGCTGGCTTCAGCAATGTATTTCTTTCCTGCCATCACAAGGGCACTGACCAGGCAGCCTTAACAGCAAAGTCTCTTTCTCATGGCCCCTAGAGACTGGCAGCCTGGGGTCACAGTGTGGGGTCACTGTTCCTTCCCCCCTGAACTTGCAGGCACTGCCTCTTCCAGTGTGCTCGTGTGGCTGTTACTCTATATGCATCTGTGTCCTGACATCTGCCTATGGGCATCAGGACATCAGTGGGGTCGGCTCACAGCCCACTCCTACACTGCATTTTCCTTGAACTACACCTTTAAAGGCCCTATCTCCAAACAGCCACAGGGCCAATTAGGGCTTTGACATGCATTTGGGCCACGCAGTTGGACTCCAACAAGTAATCTCAGCAAAGTTTGATGTCCTGTACCACTCCTGGTTGTCCCTGCAAGCTTTGAGATATCACTGCAGTATGGAGCTCAGAGCCTCAGACCCCTGCACTGGGACATGTGATGAGATTTGTTTGGTTCAAAATCATCAAGTCTGAGCCCAAACAGTCTTGCCCAACAGTCAGCCATTTAGAAGGCAAAGGTTGCCTGGCACTCAGATTGCCTGACTGTCTTGGTCTGGCCCACCAGGGACTGGCGTGGAAAAGCAATTGAGAGGTTTGGTGGAGACAGGTTGAGATCCATTCTCTGGGTCCAGGAAAGGCCTGGCTTGTCCTCTGCCATGCTTTAGCTGGACGAACTCAGGGCAGTGTTAGCAAGGACACGCCGGCCAGAGACCGAGGACCATCCCACTCTGCAGTCAG